TATATCCCAGAGCTGCACGCTCTCGTCGTCGAAGCTACTGCTCAACAAAACGGACCTCTATCGCTTTACTCTTTGATCTCATACATCATCCACCCACTCAGTGACTGGAGTGAATCCAGCTTCTCCTCTGTTCCAGCCTGTGAACTGTCTTTGCTTGTGACCTTGATACCCAGCGATCCGGCAATCATCTTCGTCTTGTACTCTTTTCCATTATCGTCTACCAAGACTGGCACGGAAGCAAAGCCATTGGGGATATCAGAGATATCAACTTCATGGTAAGATACACCATCCAATTCTAACCTATCCGAATCGGTTTCCCATGGATTCCGGGGTCCTTTCTGATCATACATACACTCTCCTTTGTCGTTCCAGAAGCAGAATGCTGTCAACCAGCCTCCCAGGTATGACGGCCCACTACCTCCACCAAGACGATGCGCAATTTTGGACCAGAAATCGTGCGAGACAGCAGACTGCTCTGGATCGAAAGTTGCGATGAAGTTGCGCAGAACAGGGCGGAGGAGGTCGGCAAATGTACTTGCTTCAGGGCCTAATTCTGGCAATTTTTCGAGTCTCTTAAGAATATCTTCGTAATCTGCGCGTTCGCCTAACAGAGTGACCGTAGGAATTCCGCACTTGAGACGACATTTATACTTGAAATACGCCTTCATGCTGCCCATCATGAGCACTGCAGCTGTCGTGCGATCGGTAACCGTAGTTGTGCTGAACGCCGGCATGATCCAGTCTCGTAGATCAGGGTCCTTGACGTTCTCCTGAATTAACGCTGTCATGCGTCGTGCGAGCATGCCAAAATCTACGGTGTGGATGTTACCAACCTCTTTGACTCTGAGCTCTTTGTGCCCTTGGTGCGAGACGAAGTGGTCGCGCAGTGCTTCGGCGTTGGCGTTGATGTAAACATTCAGCTGCGATAGTATGGCGAACCAGACATCTTCGGGGCGGATAACAAGATGATGGTGCCAGCTATATGCTGTGAATGCTGCGTGGACGAACCCATTGTTCGACTCGACGATGTGGGATTTGCTGAACTCGTCCTCGGAGACGGAGCTCTGGATTATCCATTTGCAGTTTTTGGAATCTGATAGACTAGTGCCTTCCAGCAGTGCGTCATTCGAGGCGATTTTGGCGTTTCTGTTATGGTAGCTTTCGGATTTATGATCCGCGACTGTGATTGTGACCGGCATGTTTGTCGATGTGTGTTGAAAGATGGGTTGTAACAGAATAGAGGAAGTCTGAATTGTTTCGAGATGAGAACTTTGTGGTTCTCGTAGTAAGAGTATGACTAACTGCTATATATATATCTGCGCCGTGGTTTCGAGGCGCCCAAGGTTGCTGCCGTTGCTGCCTATGGCTAGAGCAGCCTACGGTTGTGGATTGGTGCCTGCCCATGCACAAACACGCAGTTGCTCCATGGGGTTGCGGGGTAATCGCGTCTCCGCTCTACAATACCAAAACTTGTTGGATTCTGTCAGCTTCCATCTCATGCACAATCAGTTTGTACGGAACAAGCAGTATAACTATTTGTTCCTCTCTCTTTGTTAGATATTCTGATCCAAGAAAACTCGCAACGACAAAGGCCTATCCGGTGCATACAATGTGACATGGCAATAGTTTCGCCGAAAATCATATGCCCTATCAGGCTCTCAACCACTGCTGGGGTTCCTCGAACCAGAACGTCGCACTATGATGTGAAGGATTCGATCTCGAGGTATCATCAAACATAGCAGACGGGTTAAGCACACTACAGTCTCTGGGGTCGCTATCTACATCGCTACATGGCATCACTCTAACATTTGATGAACTGACGCCTATCTACTAACTCCGCGAGTGATCTTGGTCTTGGATCAGCATATGAGGATGAGTTGTGTCAAGCGAATACAAATGGAAAGAAGAAAGTTGCAAAGTCTCGCAAGGAAGCGATTGGGACCGGTTTGTGCTAGCCTGTTCTGCCATAGAGCGTGCAGCAAGTCTGAACTTGCGTTTGCAGGCGAATTAGCGAGCCAAGCTAGAAAAGGAACGACGGCGGTGAGAACGTATTTGTTTACGACTGCCCTGGATGGCAGCAAAGGCGACGCCCAAAGATAGAGTGAAGTCCAGAGCGACGAAGAAATTGGGTCGAACTGACCAATCTCAGGTAAGTCGGTTAGAGAGCTGCATGTTACGATTATGCAGCTTTCAGAAGCCATCATTTGCGCTGCAGCAATCTTATGTGGACCTCAAATGAAATGTTCGACGCGACAACTGCTCAATGGGTATTTGACTTGTTCATTATTACTACGAAGCCTAGGAATATAGGCGTTCGCACCACAGTGCAGTCCCATCAAGGAAAGCCCGCGTTATCCTATACGCAAATATTGAAACACATTATACACAAGCTCGTGCCCGTCCAACATACAGCTTTATGACTTCGTATCGAGGGTCATGTCTTGTCCTCCTTCATATCGTACTGCTCGGCTGCGCTCCAACTCGAATCAAGGGGGTATCTTATGCGACGCCTTTGACGGCTTGCCTCTGTGATGAATGTTAGAGATGTGTAAAGTTAGGTGGCTGGTGAAGCTGTGACGTACCTTCTTGTTGATGAACATGGCAATGACCAGGACGAGGACGAGGAAAACAATGACAAGGACGACGATGACACCGGGCTCACGCTGAGCCCAGTTCTTGTCACGCTTGGCCAGCTGGTGGAGAGCGTACTCGGCGCGAGCGGCGATGGGCATAGAAATGGCGGCCATTGTGTTTGTGGGTTTCTGGGGTGAAGATGTTAGAGAGGATGTTCGATTAGGTAGCTGGAGAGATTCCTGGAGCTGGAGAAGCACAGGCCAGAGGCATTGGGCGAACGCGATTCAGTCCAAGAGAGCTATCGAGTAAAAGGATCTTCGGCCAAGGCTTGTCGCGAGACTCGTCCCGATGGCGTAGATGCGATAACGCGGCGCGCACGCTTGTGGACAGCTCCAGAAGAAAGCGGCATTAAGCTTACATTTACGAATTGAATCGGACCTCGTTTGAATTGTCGAGCTGGTTGAAGCTTTGGTTGGCAGCTGTTGATGGTGACGGAAGCTTGTCAGCGCGATCGGATCAAACCCACGGAACGGTCGCGACTGCAGAGGGACTCGGCGATGTTAATTGAATGGCGCAGGTCGACAGCGATGCAGCATCAAAGAGTGAAATCAAAAGTCTTAATAACAAGAGGCTGATAGTCCGCTTTTAAATGCGCCGGCTCGCCGAAAATTTCTGCAGTTGATGAGGCATTTTGTTTGGCCCCGGGTCCTAGCGGGTTGGCCGGGAGCCTCCAAGCTTGCAAGGGTAGGTGCGCGCGCTTCGGCCGGGGATGGGAGCGGTCATGGAATTAGTGAACTTACAGTGAATCGCGAATGCGCGTTGCGGTGGGCAGTTGGTGGTGGGCTTTGGGGGATGCTGGAGATTCGGGGCGAAGAGCAGCGTGAAGAGTAGATGAATGGCTGGGACCTAGCAACGCGAGGGTTGAGGGAGCTAGGAGGGAGCTACTCAATGCAGCCAATGGCGCGACATGCCATCATTTCGTCGTAGATGAGCCGACGATCGCCAGCCTCATATTCGGCAGCGGTCGAGTGTTTGCACGTGTTAGCTCGCTATTTTGCAACTTGTTTCCCTTGTTGGGACGATAAGAAAGCCTCTGCGCAGCTTTCACCGGTCCTTCTCGTGGTGCTCTCGACGCCAGCGACTCCCCATGGACTCTCCTCTCGCGCCTCCACAGTTGCGTCTGGTTGCTGCAAGCCGCCGCTGACGCTACTCGTCGGCTCCACTCGACCTCGACCCCTGCCACCTATTAACCGTTCTTGTGCCGCAGAAGCAGCAACGATGTCATCGCCTATTGCTTATCTGCAGTGACTGATGGAGACGCAGCGAGCCCACGCTCCGACCGAGCGCCTTGGCCGTTTGACACAAGTCGAACCGTGGGCTGGCAGGCAAAAGCACGCCTAGCGCACCGGAGACAAAAACAACGCATGTCAATAATGCCTCATTTCCAGACGCTCGCTTTGCCGTCAACAGGGCGACGCGCTACGCCGATAGCGCCTGCGCACAACGGAGACGCGTGGGGTGGCCTTGGTACGAGCTGCCGGGATCATCACTAAGCTTCTGTTGTGCCTGTGCCCCCGCATCTTGGCGAAGCATGGTACACAGGAGGCGCTTTGAAACGCTGAGGAGCATCACCATGTCACGCACACATCACCAGCCGTAGCAAGTGTCGCGAGAGAGCTGGGGGCTAGCATCTGGGGCGTGTTTCCGTGTCCGCTATAATGACGTCTCCCAAACAGCCAATATCGTCGTTATCAACCATGGTCGTATAGTGTTGCTCATGACTCGGTCGCCATGTGACAGACTTGTCTGGGCATAAAATACTTATTCACGCCATCATAACAACAGCTATGTGCAGCCAGCCATCAAGATATGCTGTCGCCCGAACCAACTCCTCCACACTCGCGCTCAGCGGTAAGACGGCACCGTGCAGCACTGCCTGTGCCAGTAGCGGACTTCGTCTGCTCGGAAATAGTGTCGGCAATATCTGGTTCAAGGCGGTCCCGATGGTCTGTGGTTGCCCTGTTTGTTGTCAGCTGCATCCAGACCTACACCGCAATTACACTTACTAGACGACAGGTTCGGCGTGACCAGCCTCTGCACAATTCTCAAACTCCCTGGCGCCGTTTCCTCTTGCACCCCTTCTGACGACGCATGCGGGAGATACAGCCTGACCGGCAGATGTCTCAGATTGACCCCTTGCGGATTCAGCAACTTCTGGTTGATGGGATTGTACAGCGCAAAGTCGTGCTTCTTCACTCCGTTCCAGAGCTGTGTGCTGTCCTCTTTGCTCAAGAACATGACTGTCTTGCCCGTTCCTGTTCTCAGGTAATCCGCCTCCTTCACGCTATGAATGAATAGATCATGCATGTGCCTATCGTCATTATCGAGTTGAACAAGCTGCTCGGAAGGGAAGCCAGAGAAATGCAGTGTGAGACGCCAGGGTAAATGTTGGCCGTCTTCCTCTGTATTCTCAACCTTGTGAGCTTGCACAGCTTCTGTATCTGTGTCTGAAGGATACGCTGGCTCAGCGCCCGAGTAGAGGTCATAGAGGAGACCCAAGGGGTAATGCCATTTGAGCGGCACGTCTTCGTAGGATAGCCATGCGTCTTTGGGTGAGACGTCCGGGTAGATGAGGCTGCGTGAGAAGAAGGCATGTAGTTTGTGTATGAGTAAGCCAAGATAGGATATTCGTGGAAATTGTATCTACCTCTGGTCAGCTCCTACTTGATCAAGCTGTACCTTGACCATGCGAGTATTGAGTTTGCGCGTACTAAGTAAGGATCCGACTCATCGTACGTTCTACAGTCGCCCTTGTGCAACCGTATCTCGAGCGGAATACTCCCATTCCAAGTGCTCTGCCGCAGCCTACTCGTGACGTCTCTTGAGGCCATGGAAGCGAAGCATCCAAGACGCAGGTCGCCAACCGCCGTTCTGGTAGCCTAGGCGCAGCTGATCGATAGTGGGGTAGGCAGGCAAGGCAAGGCAAGGCAAGGCGGGGTATGCAGGAAGCTTGGGCCTGGCGTGCAGGAACCACCAACGTTTTGCTCGTGCGTCTCTGCGACAACCGCGAACTCGTCAAACTACTGTAGGAACATGTGCGCTGGTCGTGCCTCCTTCATCCACAACGCACGTATCATGTGATACCGTAGATGAGCCATCTACTTACGCACAACAGCTGGACCATGAGCGTGGCACTCAGCCGCAAACGTTCGCGCCTGACCATTGACGAGGACGAGGACGAGGTGCAGCACCGCAGAGAGCCGTCGCCCACTCTGCCAGCATTGGGCGATGCCCTGAAGAGGTCCAAGACACAATGTGAACTGGAAGAACTAGACATGATCAGTCCGGAAGAGGCTTGGAGTGTGGATGTCGACGCAATACTTGCTAGCAACACGCTCGCGACTCTACCAAGCAGCAAGCTAGAGGCGCATAACAATTGGGCAAGATACTCAAAGCAAGAATCAATAATAGTTTTGTGCGTCCAAGGAAACGTTCAAATACACTACGAGCTGCTATGGTAAATCCGATTCATTCCATCCGCACTATTCTTACTGACTTGCAACAGCTCCGCACTCCCTGACCTCTACGCTCTCTCTCCCTCGCTCCAGGCCCTCGTACTCTGCCACGACCCCTCGATACACAGACTATCCTCTTCCGCGCCCTTTTCGCTCCCCGTCATACAAGCTGCAACCCCTTCGAACAACCACTTCGTCCGCCTAGGCCTTCTACATCCTCTCGGTGGAGGTAAATTCCCATTAGATGCACTGGTCGTGCTGGACAAGCAGAGTAGAAGAAGGCTGGTGCTACCGTTCGGTTGGGGTGCTGGTAAACATGCGGATACACCCGCGGGGCGGAACATACAGATGCGATTGATGGGACTGCTGAAGAGCTGTGTTGCGACTTTAGTACGGGAACAATGAATGTCATTGTATGACTCAAGCCAGAATCCCGACACAATAATGTTACGTCAACAAATACGCCTGGAGTATATAGACGCCGTGGTCCACCATCCTCTAGAGTTTCGTAGCTAGAATTGCTACCCGTGAACGCCTACGCCCGGACAGGCTCTGATCGTAGCAGAGTAATGAAAGAACCGATGGGGTTAGGGTTGAAGAAGACAACTATGTTTGTACACGTCGTCTATCGCAGCTCTTACAAAACAGGATGCCGACACCCCGTATTTAGCTTATACCCTCGTCAAAGAGTAGCCCCAAAAAAGCTTGTAAAACGACATGAAAAGCATCAAGGGCGCTTGTCGGTACTGCTCAGGTTTTCTGAGGGGGTCTAAATGAGATAAATATGACTGATGTCTTTCAAAGACAACATGCTAAGAATTTATGTTAGGCTCGATCCATGAAGCCGTCGCATCTGCCATCTCCTCGGGTACCATAAGAGAAGTGAACTGATGCGAACAAGCCAGATAAGCCAATCTTTACGTTACGATGCAGATGATCGCTTTGTCTGTGACGGAGTTAGTCATATTGCATTCATGGGTGTCGAATGAGAGACTATTTAACCTCTTGTAAATTTCAATATCTTCTTATATCTACCTTCGAGACGGATAGCTCACCAAACTGATGTTGAAGAAGGGCGATATTAGTCGAAATGCGTCAGAGTCAGAGCTGATCCTACTAGAGTACGAAAAATGAGGCGGACATTTGGATATGTTCCCAGTGCGTGAGTTGGAAGGAGTTTGTAGCTACGAGTAGCTAGACTCTCTCATGCTTTGTGTATTTGCAGTGAGCGGGCGCACAAGTCTACGATGGGTATCCTTTTTTTTTGTGTGTGTGTGTGTGTGTGTGTGTGTGTGTGTGTGTTTGTATTTGTCAGTCTTAGAATTGTTCCATACCTCTTGATTCTGGATTCGTTTCCATCATTGGGTGAGTTCTTTATTGACAGCATCTCGTGTATCGTCTACTGCGCTATGCTATAGTAGTTCTTCCTGGGTACAATGTAAGTATACTTGTTGACAGGCCTACCTTTAATCCTGCACCTCCTGTCCTTTTGCATTCTGAACATCTTCGATTGAACAGTGAAAGCACAAACAAAGGTCCTATACGATTTGCTGTATCCAAGCGCTCGATCTTTCCAGCGTTGAAGTCGACCCACATAGGTAGACGGCCGCGAGGCGGAGGGCAAAAATGAAACAAGCACGGAGGGCCATCTGTAAGCGTATACAGTGGGTAGTCAAGTTACATAGTACCACGATTGGGGTATGGTGGTCTGACGAGGAGTTATGCTATCCTGGTGACGGATGTTAGGGTATGATCAAGTGTTGGTAATGAGGTTGACGCCTAGCGCCTGACACCTGCCGAGCGCGCCCCGGGCGACGGCACTGGACGGTACTATATCATCCCCTCTTTATCACGAGCACTTTAAAAAAAAGAAAACATAGCAAAGGCTGTGTTATACTGTGTCAATCCACTTTTTGCTCAAAATCGTCACGCTGGTCCTAGATATTGTATTCGCGCTTCTAAGGCTGTTGCGGACCCGCACGATGCAATCGAAAATCGGCTTCTGTCACCAGTCCTATAGTGAGAGAAGGCGTCTACATTGTCCCTCTCGTGGAACCTGCGAGCGGAAACGGAGGGAGAAGATTACTAGATTCGGCAGGAGACTCCTAGCCCCAGTCTTCAAAGCCACTAACCTTGCTGTGATAACCTAGTGTGGGTTCGACCAACCCCACCATGCGATATATGACCATACTCGCACTTTGTACAGAGTCAACATCACTACTTAAGACGCTCAGTAAACCAAACAAGACTGCGAAGACCAGATATAAAATCGAAATCAGTAACCATGCCTCAAACCATCAAGCTAAAAGCACCGAATGGTCAAGAGTGGGAGCAGCCGACGGGCCTCTTCATCGACAACGAATTCGTGGATTCATCATACCCAGCAAACACAATAGCATCAATCGACCCCGCCACGGAAAAGCAGATTGCTGTAGTACAGGCTGCGTCAGAGCAAGACGTTGATCGTGCAGTCCAAGCAGCGAAGAAAGCACTGAAGAATCCGGAATGGAAGCAACTTTGCGTTACTCAACGTGGGCGACTCATGGCAAAGCTTGCAGACTTGATGGAAGAGAACAAAACGCTTCTTGCCACTATCGATGCTTGGGATAATGGTGAGCCTCACCGAATACATGAGTTGAAAACACTAATAGTCGTTAGGCAAGCCTTATAATGTAGCCCTTACCGAAGACCTCCCTGAAGCGTTTTCTACCATTCGCTACTACGCTGGTTGGGCAGACAAGATTTCCGGACAGACCATCAGTACGACCCCCCAAAAGTTTGCATATACCCTACGCCAGCCCATCGGTGTCGTCGCCCAAATCATCCCTTGGAACTACCCTTTATCCATGGCTTGCTGGAAACTTGGACCTGCGCTAGCGTGCGGTAATACGGTTGTATTAAAAGCAGCAGAGCAGACCCCACTATCAATTCTCATTCTGGCCAAACTTATCAAGCAGGCTGGGTTCCCACCTGGCGTCGTAAACATCTTGAATGGGCTTGGACGGGAAGCAGGTGCAGCGTTGGTACAGCATCCCCTGGTCGACAAAGTCGCTTTCACAGGCTCTACGACTACAGCTACCCAAATTATGAAGATGGCCGCAGTAGGGCTGAAGAACATTACTCTAGAGACTGGAGGCAAGTCCCCGTTGATCGTCTTTGAAGATGCCGATATGGACCAGGCGGTACGATGGTCGCACGTGGGTATCATGTCGAACCAAGGGCAGATATGCACAGCCACGTCTCGAATACTTGTCCAGGAATCAGTGTTTGATACATTTGTCTCTCAATTCCGTCAACAGATTAAAAATGTTTCCATCATTGGTAATCAATGGAGCGAAAACACTTTCCAGGGCCCTCAAGTCACGAAGCAGCAATATGAGCGAGTGCTATCGTATGTCGACATCGGTAAATCTGAAGGTGCAGAGCTGATAGAAGGCGGAGAGGCTTGCGAAGGCAACGGCTACTATGTCAAGCCGACAGTATTTACAAAGGTGTCGCCCAACATGCGCATCTACCGAGAGGAAATCTTCGGCCCCTTCGTAGTGATTGCCACTTTCTCAAGAGAAGAGGAGGCGGTGAACATGGCCAACGACTCAATTTTCGGTCTTGGTAGTGCTATCTTCACAAAGGATCTCGAAAGAGCTCACAGGGTGGCTGCGGAGATTGAATCGGGCATGGTATGGGTAAACAGCAGTCAAGATTGCGACTACAGGATACCTTTTGGTGGCGTGAAACAAAGCGGTATTGGAAGAGAGCTTGGGGAGGCAGGACTGGAGGCTTACTCACAGGTGAAGGCAGTACATATTAACATGGGCAACAAGCTGTAAACCTATTAGGGGGAGGTGAAACCGATGATCGTGGTCGAAGATATCAATAGACTCTGCTCTATGTGTGTGTGTGTGTGTGTGTGTGTGTTTTTATATCCGCTGTATCCTGCTCATCAAGCTCGACCTACTGCATCAATACTACTTATGACTAAAGACATCCTTAGGATGGAGATTCAGATGTGTCCTAGAAGGCGAAAGATAACGGTGGGACCACGGGCATGAGCAGCAAGCTGCCAGAATAAGACAATATGCATAGTTGAACCGATTTCTGATAGGAGGATGGTAATTTACATGTTTCAACGCCTTCACATAGTCGCGTGTCACCGTTTTTGACAGACCATTTCCGACAGCGACGTCATGACCACGAGTAAAAGTCTTGGGCGAAAAGAAACTGTCGGTCTTACACAGACACCCCGCAATCCAAGGTTTTGGGAGCGCAAAAAATAAAACAAAACAAAAAATAATGTGCATCTTTTACATATTGACTTTCGTTTATGCTAATGCACTTCCACAGTAAGGCGTCTAACGGGTTAGCCGCTACGCCACGACCACGCCCCCCATCACCCCTTCATTCCATTCGTACGAGTCGTACTAAGATGCACTACTTTCTCTCGCTTCCAACCGTCTACTAATTTTCCAAGTACATGTGCATGGGTCTTCCATCTTGACGCCATTCGTGACGTTTTCCATCCTTGCGAATTAACCGGGAATCATTTCCAGTTCCACGCTACCGGCTTACTTCCAAGGTTGCTATCTCCAATTCTGCCCAATCCTTCGAGAGGTTGGACACAGATGCGGCCATGAAAGTAATTCAGATGTGGTGGTGGCTGTCGACAATTCTGCTCACCTGTTACATTTACCCGCTCGGCGTTACTAAACCGGCACCTTGTGATGGATTCGCACCTATTTCCCCAATTTGTAATGGACTTTCGCTTCTACTCTAGACACAACTCAACTCGACAGTGGACGAAACAGGAGACAATCGGATTGATGTGAAAGGAGAAAGGGTACCGGCAATTGAAAACAGAGCCCGAACGATACCCGGCAATGCAAAAACAGCCTTGTACTTGACAGCTACTCCTGCCTCTCTTGTCACGCCCTATACCCCACACACCCATAACTATACCCACACATACGGACAAAATTCCCAAGAAAGCATATAGTATCTATTCACGAAATGCAACAATAGATCGGAGTACGATAAGCGAAATCTGTCACGCATCAGATGTCTCGGTCTGCGGACACACATCCTTGTCTTTAGTTAATGGAAATGTTTATGTTATCTAGAAGGCTCAATGCTCGGCATAATGTCCGATGGCACGAGAACAGACTTCTTGCATGTGCTTTTTCCGATGACAATGATAAATTGTGCTAAGCTTGGAAGGTGGCTTGCGGGAAGAAAAAGAAAACATCAGGGGTGTGAGTGTAGACAAGGAACGCATGCATGTGAGTTTCCGCATCGTATGTTCACGGGCAGATCTGACATCTCAGGATAAGGCATCCTTTGATCTAGATCGCGACGACGCGTGGATTGTGGGTAGTTGTCGTAGTCGTTTGCTGGTTGTTCATGCGGGCCGGGGCATTTAGCGTGGGTAAAAAGAGGGGGATTGCGCACTCGGACGAGATCTCGATGATCGATCTCTAAACTTTCTTAGCCCCCCGAACACGATACGAACTTGGCCTTTTCTGTGTACTTACGACTGTGGGATCCTGACCCGCACCTCTCGGAGTGAAGCAAGAGGCCCATGCAAGGGAGACGGTGTGAACACGCAGGGTATCGACACCACAAAAGGGAACGCAGGGGCGTCATCGCTCTTGCAGCGTGATACAACCTTGGAAAACCTGCATATACATCGGCGTTGGAGTCCAGCCAGTCACAACATTGAAAGCCCTTACCAAGTTTGCTCTCCGATCGGAGGAGGGCGTTGCAACCGCAGATTCGGCGCACGCTACAGCATACCATCTGCACACCATCGGTAAATTTAACATCGCAGCATGTACTCCATGAAGCAGGCCCCTTGCGTCATGCCGTGAGCGTTGCCACATGTAATCGCGTGCAAGGCTTCTATATCAGTATTGAAATCTTGGCTGGATTGTTCTACCGCGATTTGATTGCGATGCCCTTGGTGACTGCGCGGTCGTCCGTCCGCGCATCTCCTGTGTGGCACAGTTGCGGCGATAGCGGCTGAAGATGAGGTTTCAGAGCCGGTATGCACGGGATGGATGTGTATTGAAGCGGTATGGTGGCCGGAGCCAAGTTTTATCTCCAGCCTGACTGCTGTATCTGGTGCGTTCCTGGACCATAGTACAAAGTAGCCAATCAGCTGCGTCTAATATTGAATGCAATTTAGTGCAGCAATATTGTCGTCGGTATGCTAACCGCAACGTTCTTGATAGCATTACTCGCGAATTTCCAGGTCCAACTGCCGAAGATGCTGCCAGTGTACAGTATGCCAACTCCAACGAAATGTTTTGCTGCCGGGACTTCCGATTCGCTACATATCCCAGTTCATAAGATATTTTGTCCACCCCTGCTGCACTTGATTGCGGTGGAATTTGCCATTATGAGTTGCAAGCGATGCATCGCGCTTGTAGGCGAAGTGTGGTGTAAACCGTAGAAGGTTACATCGAACCTCAGGTATAGACAATACGTCGTGAGGGAGGATCCTTCCGCGCGAAGCTCCACTTGCAAGAAAAACCGTCGGTCGGCCCAATGCAACCGCAGCCCGTCTCTTGCCTCTTACGACCTGGCTGCATAAAGGGCCCTGTCTTTTGACAGCTGTCATTGCCACGGTTGTGATGAGAACCGTCGTCTTGCAGACGCGGCTTGTCTTGTGATCACGGCAGGGGTTCCTTTCAGGTCCGTCTATTCAGTCCGCTACTAACTATGAGGGGACGGCTTTACTACGCGACGAGTCAGGCCGCACGCATACCAGGAGGCAACGGGGAAATTCCGCCGGCACGCCCAACGGCAGTTTTCTTACGTGAGGTAAGATGCGCACAAGACACCCCAGTGATTCCATAACGGATGACGAGTCAGCAATAATGGTGTGTCGCGCGCGAAGCGAAGGAACTGGTGTGTTTGGTGCCGGCCCTCAGTGGTTGATGCGCCAATCAAACAATGGATGGGTCGAGCTTCAGGGAGAGCCCGCGACTCGAACGGCGGCCTGTGTTGTATTAACCTGCGGCGCCAGCTGGGGCGACTCCACCCCAAGGCTATGCTCTTGCGGCTAGTGTTTCGCTGGAACTGACGGAGGACGGTTGCGATTGCTGTCTGTGCATTCCCGCGGCCGATGATGTATCGCCAAGCGGGGGAAGCGGAAAAGGATATGAATGGCACTTGCACACTGCCGCTGTATCAGGAAGGAATTGACGCGTGGGTACAATGGTTTGTCTAGAGCATCCAAGTTCATGCATGGAAGATTGCCTTGTACAGAAAACCTGCTAACAAATGGGGCCTTAATTCTGGGTCAGGTCCGACGGCTACGTGGCTTCATCGTGCGTTTTGCGTCGTGGGCGGATAGCTCTACACAGCCTGAGCAAAAAGGTATTGGGGCCCAAACTCCTCAGCTCCCTAGCACACTGAACATACTATGACGTATATCATGCAGCCATGTCGATGCCGCATACTGCCGAAGCATATTAAGCGGCACTTGAGCATTGTTTTCGGCATGTGAGCCAGGTTTTAGGTCCGGGTACAGCAAGTTTGCAATCACGTTGCGGACCGATTGTATACCCACATTCTCAAACGACCGTCCAGGCGTTGTGACTCGACGAGCGTTCCCGTAGCCTCGCGCCCTCAACTAGCGACGTAAGCCGTTAGCACGCCCCGAGAGAGTTTTGCCTGCGCTAGAGCCTAGATCTGCAATCGACACCCAGCGTTTCCCGAAGGCGCTGCGTGCTCCGAGCGATCGACGCTGACTATTTATACAAGAACGTTGCAAGGGCGTTCCGAGGTCTTTGAACCCAGTGATTCGGAATTGTTGCGGGTGCATTTCGTTCAATTTGGTGAATTCTAAGCGACCGATTGGGTTTGCATGGATTTCTTCGTGAGGCTAACATCAAAGATCAGCAGGCAGTCGCGTGAGAGAGGCGTGCCGAAGCCTGTAAGAACCACATCGAAACGGTCATGATTGGCGAGGCTGATGACGCCGCCCAGGTCGACACTGCTGATGAGGTCATTATCAACTGTGGCTCAATTGTATGCGTTCCATGTCTAGACCTTCATATGCTCCCCGCACCAGGCAAAACCGTGTGTAATCTGCTGCGCAATACAAAATCTACCATCTGCTAGATACACACATAACATCAGCTTACGAAAACAGATAAAAAGAAAAGAAAAAGAAAATCTTTTGCCTGCGTCGCCGTTGCGCAGTATGGCCGCTTTTCAGCCACATCTCAAATCCACGATGATCCAACTCAAAATCGATATTCGAGAGTATACCGGACTCGGCCAAACTCGAACAGCACCGAAAGACTCCGCTGTACCGGAATGGGGAAGTTGAGCGACGAATTATGATTAGCCGCGATAGCGAGTTCAACAGCGTTGGCGACTCGGGAAGCCCCGCTCGGCAGCCGTCAGCCGTGTCACCCTATCCCGTTTTTGCAAGTAGCAATGTAAGGGTGTGGCTAGTCATGCAGGTAATCCGGATAGCGTGAGCTGGAACATGCCCCGGGCGCCTGATTCGCTGCTTCGCCCAGTGGGAGGCTTTGAATGATGTCGACACGCTAGAACGTTGTTGCGATTGAATTTACCGGCTGTTGTACATGTGAAAGTCGAGACTGCGTCAATAAAGACTGCATCCAAGTTGCAAGGGTGGCCCAGAGATCGATCGGGATACCAGAACTCTGTTTCAGCGGATCCATATTGATTGATACTTTGGGTTTCGTACCGAACCGCTTTGACGCTCGTCGCTTGTGCGGGGCTTGGTGCATCCTTGTCCGAGCACGGAATGCTGGGCCCCTAATGTTTGGATAAGGTTTGTGAGTTTCGCGCTTTGGTAACAGGGTCGTTAGTGGCGACTCGACTCATGCAGTAGTCCAGCAGTTGTGAAGAAGAGATCAGATTGGGTATAGTAGCAACATCGTCGAGTGATAGCTGGTGTGATAGGCACATGCTGTCGGCACCGGAGACGGAGCGCGGACGAAGGAGGTGTGAAACGTAGATGTGGAGGCGTACCACGTACATCAGGTGATACATAGCAGCATCATGACGTGGGCAGATCTGAGTAGCAACATGACAAACGCTTCTCATCGTAGAGAGCTATGGTGGCGTAGAATAGATAACGCCGTGAAGAGGGTAACACTGTCGAGAATGATAACGCCGATCCTTTTTCTTAACCATCTCTTTCAAGCAGTAAACCCTTACAGTACCAAATACCAAAAATAGCAGCCAAGGCAAGAGCGTGAAGACGACCGGATGGGGGTATAGCGGACGATCTTCTTTTGCTGTCATGAACACCAACCCAAATGCAAATGCGGACGTGAATCGAATGATAACTTTCGTGTGCGGAAGCGTAATCGTGAACGGTGTAATGTAGACATTAATGACCTAGGCCGGAGCTGTGGAACGGACAGGTGGTGTTGGGTTGGATGGAGGGTCAAATGTTACTACTTTTCGGTACTTTGAGGCTTCGTGAGGTATCTCGGACTTTCGCTTGGCGGAAACAGGATGGGCTGGAGGACTGGGAGGTGAAGGGTCTTCTATGCTTCTACTCCGTGACTTGTGCGCTGCTTCTGTCTCGGGCGGGCTGGTTGCAGCCGCGGGGCACATCTGGTGTTGGCGTACCCAATGCGCGTACGCTTCGTCGGCATATTTGGTGTGATTTTCCAGTCGTTTGATGTAATCCTCGGTTAATCTCGTCTGTTCGCGTATGTTCTGCGCAGGTGAGCTCAGTCGGAACTGGTTTTCTCCGGGTAAAGGCCGCTTCCAGCGAACACCGCAGTTCTTGCATCGCTCCACTTGGGGCGTGTTTTGCTGCTGAAGTTGCGCAGGATCCTCCATAGGGGGAGGAGCTGCAGTGGTGATGGCCAAGATGGCCTGCTCCACAGAAGGCTTGATAGTGTGCTCAGGCGATGGCTGTTCTTCGGGAGTCTCCACTGGCACAGGGGCTGTCGGATGGGGGTCTGGCCGAGGTCTTTGATTTGGCGGCATGTTTTCCGAGGTGTAGACGGTGTTGAATCTTACGTTGTAGCGTTGATGTCGTCCACTGCCGTTCGTTTGATCTAACGTTGGAGATGGTAGTGGTCTCTTGGATCCGGAGTCTGTGTTGGCGTCTCGCACTTGCTCTGGCGACCTGGAAGATTCGGCAAAAGTGTGAGGGTTGGAGGATGACGATGGTGATGTTGCTCCGTTTTGGTTGCGGGTTCCTGTCTCTACAGATGGTTGATTTGAGCGATATTCACTCGCTGGGGAATGGGGAGAAGCGGGCCCAGCAGGATGTGAGATTGGCCGGGGACCGTTTGGCTGACGACCATTACCCCCTACAACAGGGTGAAAATAGGAAAAGGCAAGAACAGAGGAAGGAACAGTGGGCTCGGCCTCTTTTGAGGTGTCGAAACGGTGCTGGGAGATGGCCGAGTCTTGGCGCAGGCTGGCAATTGGCGGTGGTTGCGATGGTGCAGCGACTTCCTGGGGACTGTACGGGCCAGCAGTTGGCTGGGGTAATGAAAGAGAAAACCTTTGTGGTTGATGATGATGATGATGTTGCTGTTGTTCTGGTGCAAGGGGCGGGATTCTGGTGTTGGTGGGGCTGCCCAACAAGTCAGCACGCTTGCGGCAGGCTCTGTCACGGCTACTTACCTGACGTGCGGGCTCGTGTGATTGATTGCGGTGAACGAGGCTTGCTGTGTGGAATTGGCAAAGTCGAGCGCGGTGAGCGTCGTGGGCGGCGTGGATTGTGAGACAGGCCGGTCGGCGGTGTTTGCAGCAGGCGGCGGCGGCGGGACAGAGTCACGCGGGCGGTGCAGGACTGAGTCGGACGACGAGGTCAGCTCAGCAAAGCTGGGGAGGGTTCGCTGGGGAAAGCGGTTGGGGTCGGGCTGCGGGTGCCTGTGTGGATGCCAGTCGCTCCCCATCATGACATTCGGTCGTCTTAAGTTATTATCTGGCGGTCAAGCGGCGGCTTGAGTGGGAGTTGAGGAAGAAGGGCAGGGTCGCACAAGGAGTAGGGTCTCACGGGAAGAGTGGAAAGGGTCTAGCATTTGCAGCGACTTCTTGTGCAGCTCCGCTCAGGAAGAAGCGGCTGGAGGCCCTAGTTGGGGGGCTTGCAACAAGGGCATGTCACTGGTTTGCGCAGGCTGCGGGGGAAGGCGCTGCTGCACTGTGAAAGAGAGCTCTGGGGCCCACTTGAGATGGCATGCAGCGGGGACCTGATGCCGTCGACGAACCCATGTCTTCCCACGTCCTCCCATGTCGCCCACCCACAGCCACCCATGTCGCGACCAGAGCCACCCATGCTGCCAGCATGGACCTCGCACGGCGGGACGCCAGACGCGGATGCGTGCAAAGGCGCTAAGGGGCTCGGGGCAGGCGGCTGGAGATCCGCTTGTGGCATGCTAATCTTGCCAGACTCGAGCCTCCCCCCCTCGGGCGAGCACAGGACATGGCCGTGGCCGTGGCCGACACCAGACACCACCACGCTCCGGATCCGAGTAACGAGTGACTCCAGCACCAGCACACAACACGAGTGCAGCGCACAACGTCCTCGCCCATGGGGCCTGCTGTGTGCACCTCACCTGTGCAGCCTACCTGTGCAGCCACCTGTCCGGCCGTGTGCGCCCATTGCGGCTAGCTGCTTACCTTACAGAGCCCTGCCCCACGTGACTCCACCCGTACTCTTCCGACAATCTTAGACGCTGCCTGCCTGCCGGCCTGCCTGCCTGTGCCACTGTCCAATCTGACTCTCTCCGCCAGCGTGTCCCTTTGCTTGTTTGGACGCGTGCGGCTGCAGCCGAATGAACGCAACTGTGGGCTTCCCGTCTCAGGGACCGACGCGCCGCGACAACGAGGCTCTGCAACGGGAAATACAACGCTACAAACACGACGCTACCAAACGCGCGCGCAATGGCCAGACCAGACCAGAGCCATCGTTGCCATCGCTAACCACACCTGTTGACCATGACTGTGCCGCCTCCAGCCGTCCATGGCCTCATTACACCTCCTCAACTTGCCCGCCATATCAGGAAGTCCTCCTCGGACTCCCAAAGCCGTTAGCGCCTCGCACTCTCCTAGCCATTTGCTGTTTCGGCTAGCACCCAACGGTGTTTGTGGCGCTTGACGGCAAGCTTCAGCTGCACCCTCCTGACGCATTCAACGGCCATCTAGTGCCCTGCAACCCGACTCTGACCCCATTTGCTTCACCGATGGGACATGGGCGACTCTCATTTACCGGACCGAATGTGATTCGTCCCGCGCTCGCGCCTCTTCGACCAAAGCCAGAAGTGCCTGTCTCGGTATACCGACCGCCGTCTGATTGGCCCATTTAGTCCCTGCTTCCAAGCTTGACCGATGACCACACTTTCAAAGGACCTTTTCTACAAGCTTGACCACCCGGAAATATCTCGAGACACACTAAGCGGTGTGCAAGAACAACGACCAAGTCAGTCATCAAACTATCGTCCATCGCATCGTACGCCGACATTGCCTGATTAGGACTTGCCCGTCGTGACCATCGGGTAGCTGCGTGGCGATCCTACGGTGCTGTCAGCCTACTACGCCGCAAAGGAAGATCCTTCTATCATTATCAAAATAGCTCCATATGTGGGATATCATTCATCCGTGACTATACGCCTACCACAAAGCGTGTCCTGGACAATCAACAGAACATGCCTCCCCGAACCTGCGGGCGATAATGCAAGTCCTTCACAGCTCTAGCCAAAATGGCTGCTCTGCACATCCGGACATCGCCAGGCGAGTCTCTCCACTTCTCGAAGAACCAAGAGCCACTACGGGACGACACCGCGGTTTACCCACGGCCCGAGTACATGAGTCTATCATCTGCCTGCTCAGCTTTCCCCCAAGTTTCACGAGTGTTTCCTGCTGTGGTACAAAGTCATTCTCCTGAGGAGTTGCACCACAAGCCAAGCCGCTCATCATTCGCCTAGGCCCGGATCCAAGTCTGTTGCCTCGCCATCGACCGATTGCTCCATCTGCAGACCATGGAACCGCTGCCTTGCTTGCATTCACTCTTTGCTTGCATAGCGGCACGTCTTATCACGGACAAATCCACCTAGTGGACTCTCATCACTTGTCGCATGTAGCCATGCTCATCACGGACGTCTGTGTAGGACACGTACGTTGCTCGCATGGGGACGTCGTAGCTAGCGATTCCATCAATGCGGTTGAGCCATCTAAAGTGCTAAGCCCTAGACTCACACTCACGCTAATCCCTGCCACGGGAGTCCTTCCCCGCCTCGCGTGCACCACCTCATCCACGCTAATCACCTCACAAAGATCGACGTTGAAGAAACGTTGCGCCAATCAGCCCAGGTGCTGCATTCGCAATGTTTGGCTCGCAGCGGGCGGCAGCTTTGACCCACCTGTCTCTTGCAAGCTCCCTCATGTCCCTGTGGCGAGTTTCGCTGTCAGTTGTTCGCTTAGGCATGTACGCGTGCCTGCACGACATCGAAGGATCGAAGCTTTGAGATGCACAACACTCCCGACCTGGCTAGGTCGAAGCAATCCGCTCAAATGTAGTCGTCGGAAGACACTGGAAGCTCGAGCCTGCTGATCTCACAAAAGGTCAAGTGCCTGCTGGCCTTGACGCAACTGACTCACGCTTCGAGGATGCTCAATAACAGATACCATGTCTTGGGCGAGACGGCAGAATTGCCACCCTCAACATCATGTTCAGATCTCGCCTGTTCGTGCCTGGCGATGGCTCGCATGCGTTATCTGGCAGACAGTGCAGCTAGCCTTATTGGCGCGAACATCCATACCTCATTTGCCAGTCAGCGTACTGGTGGTGGTTTGCCAACACTTTGCATATACGCGAATAGCACCATGCCGAGCCACCGAGAAGGCGATTGGCCTGTGACACTGCATAGCCTGCAATATATGGACCCCGTCCAAGTGATGGCCAATTAGTCGCTGCAGCCTCAGACTGCGAACTTGACAGCTGAAAGACTGTCACTCTGCACACCATCGGCCCTTCTCTCGGAGGTACCGCACTCACCCTTCCTTTTCAAGTGACAAACCACCATGCCTCGGCTCATAGTCGCATGATAATAGACGGTTAGAGACAATATCACGCCAGTGCCGCTTACGCTTACACAGGAGTGCTTACGTCCTAGGATCATCCAGGCAATGGCGTCTGCTGCGCAATGCCATTTTGATCACCTACACCGATATTCACTGCGTAGGAAGTCTATTGTGGCGACAGCCTCGATACGAAGACAGCCCCTCAACCCTTCGTAACGGTCTCTTGCTTCATCCTGAGCATTGACCAAGCGTTTCAAGGCATTTATCCTGAGCTGTGGGGCGCCATACGGGCCGCATCCGTACCTTAAACCAACATCTAAACTTCATGCGAGAAGCGATGTTGCTCATCGTTCCTGAAACCGAGCAGGGCCTCGTGGCAAAAGTGAAGGGAAGATGATTCGTGGTCGTCTGTGCTGACTCAAACATTTGCCGTCGGAAGCCGACGGCAAAGTTGATGGATGCATCCAACGGTGTAGTAGCACAACACCACGAAGTTATCCCAAGGGTGATCGTAGGGATGATAAGCGTCCGAATAAGGCAGTTCTCGTAGGTATCAACTCGCTGGTAGAGAGTACTAACACGTCTTCGGTATCCCCATTTTGCTTTTCGGCTGGTTGGAGCCGGCGTGCACAGCCGCGTGTCCAGATCGAGTAAAGACACGGGTAGCCACAGTGCTTCTTTATGCACGACATTCTGATCGGTAGAGATACAAAAGCAAGCGATGTTTCCTTCACTGCCTGTCAGTTGAAGATGGCGCAATGGGAACCCTTTCTACTCAAGGAACGAGCAGGTTGATCACGCCAGATCATCCCGGGAAAAAGCAATTAATCCCTGATGTAGCCTATTGGCACTATGGCAGTACAGAGCCAAAATAACCGAAGACATGGAGAATTACAATCTGCATGCTCATTGTCGATAGGGGAGCTTGCGAATACCCTGAAGGTGCTTTTGTCTATACTCAATCTGCCCAAGATGAGCGTTTACGCGCTGATGTAGAAGGAGGATCACACGGCTACAGCATCTTCGCCAGGAAGGACCTTGTCTTAAACACACACTCACGGCCTATCTTTCATCCACCTGACCTCCCTTCTATGCGCCTTACCTCAGCCTCCAAGTCCTGGATTCGCTTGCGCATCCAATCCATTTCGCCGTGATTCGCCTCAACCTCCTGCTTCTGTAACTGTTTCAGAAATAGACAGTCTTGGTTTCGGCTCTGTGCAACCGACAACATCTGGTGGAACTCTTGTTGCATGGCCCTAGTGTCGCTCCGAACAACTGCAATCAGGAAGCGCGCGGAGATGGCGTCCTCTTGTGACATACTGGTGGCTGGCGATGATGCAGCAACGCTGGTTGTGGACATTGGCGGCGAGAGAGTCTGTTGAGATGTGGTGGCGTAGAAGTGACCTTCTGGGTAAGGGCGCATCAGCGGATCGAGAGGATCGTACGATGGGTGTTGATTCGCCATTGGTGAGCTGATTGTCGGGCGTAATTAGATTTAGGGGTTGTTGTTGAGATAGGCAGAAGGAGGAGCGACGTGGCGATGAGACTAAGACTGAAGAGACTGAATAGACGAGGAAGATCCCGAGATTCACAATGCTCTGCGCCTTAAAGGCGGTAAATGATTTTTTGAATTACACTCAGTCATGCCGCTCTTCGCAAGCTGTTTCACCCCTAGTCATAGATTGATGACTTTCACTGCGTGCACCCTCCACCCACCCTTTCCGATAGAACACAAGTGATGATCCCATGTAGAGTTTCCAGTCACTCAATCGATGATTTGGTCTACCCGATAACACACTGTTGCAATATCAATAATCGCTCTGTACAATGTGCGTAGCAAGGAACAATAAGCCTGTGGGTCCCAAATTCTATCCACGCAAGGCACTCTAGGGATACCCGCCATGTATTGCATGATGGATATATCACTGCAAAACATAGAGAGTGCCTCCAGGCTACAATCTATCTAGGTATCATCCACACAGCGAGCTTCTTCCCATGTGCTAACATTGAGCGCGATAACAGTATGCCCTTCTCCCCCTCGTAGAGCCATTCCTACCATCTCGTCACCCGCCGTCGCTCAAACACTCTTCGATGAGTAGAGCGCTCTCGATAGCGGCGTTGAAAGCCTCTGCCAGCCCTATAACTATTCGCCGCGCGACATGCAGCTCCACTGTAGCCCGGTCGGTATGCTATACAACCCCACGGGTGCTTGCTGGTCAGCAACGGCGACGCACAATCATTACAGCTGTCAGAGATTTGCGGATAACAGGCTTGTAGCAAGCTTGCCTGGCAGCAGATGAACAAGAAGGAAGTCATGATTCGATAGGAGTGACAGTGAGAAGACGCGAGTTCAAAGTCATCAACGAATTAATTCAGGTATCTACAACAACAGTCTCCCATCCTACTCTACTACTACAACCAGGACTCATTATGTTTACTCATTTCTAGGTCATCTTGGCTACGAATTTCTTGACCCTGCCAGCCCTGTCGACCTACGACGAAGATTTCTGAGCAGTCTCACCCATCTCGTACTCGCGCGCGTCCTGGAACAAGTCGATGATGCAGCTAGCACTCCAACTCTGCGTGGGACATGAGTCGCCACAGAATGCACCATCCTTGTTGGTGAGCTCCGTGAGACCAGCCCAGGGTGACTCCTGAATGGCCTTCATGCACCCGGCGAGACGGCGAGTGACTTGCTGGTAGCTCTCGACGCGTTCATCGGGCGTCTTGCGGCGTTGTAGATCGAACTTGAGCATGGCTCGTAGGAAGAACCCTGTGGGCCAAAGCCACTCAGGTCCTTGGTGGTAGTTGCGGCCCTTGGAAGTGTGGAAATCAGTTGAATCTTCACTGTTGATGTAGTAGCCACGGTAGTTGAGATCAGAGGGATCGAGAGTCTTCATGCCCTGTGGACCAAGCAGGACCCTGTCGGCCATCTGGAGGGCATGCAAAGCGTGCTCGGGGTCGCAAAGATCTGGCGCAACCGTCATCATGATAGGGAAGTTTGGCCTCAACTGGTAGTCTTCGTACTCCTTGCCCGAACGGTACAAGTCCTTGTAGATACCGCGACGGTTGATGATGCTCGGGTTGACGTCGTACTTGCTGTCCTCGTCTGCGGAACGCGGAACGTAGAAGCAACGCTCGAAATTGGCTTTGATAAGGTCGGCCCACTCCTTGTAGGTAACAGTCTTCTTGCCATCCTCCAGATTTACACCCTGGTACTTGAATTGGCCTGCATCGTACATGTTGGCACACCAGCGTACTGTGCTGTACAACATGCCGATGATCTCGACCGGAGCACCATCTCGTGGCGTACCTGGGTGACCCTTACTGCCGGCCTTCTCGCTCTCACCCATCTTGTCCATCCATGTACCGCAGTTCCATTGATTGCCACCAAAGATCATACCAGTCTCCCAATCAGTCCAGATCTTGATGTTGAAGCCTTCAGACTTCATCTGACTATCAATGTTCGGGCCCGCGTCGTACTCGCGGAACTCTATGCCGGAAGCGTGTCGCTGCAGAGCTTCCTGGATGACATCCTCAATGGTGGAGGACTGGGAGTATGCGCGCTTGTCGGTATGAGCAAACCATGTGTCGTCGTATGGTAGGAATCGCCGTTTAACTTTCTCATGAAGAAGCTCTATGCCATTCGGCACGATCTTGGTGTAGTCCTGGCAGTTCTGAAGGAAGAACCAGACTGAGTCGCGGGAGTTGTAACGCGGGTTCTTGCCACTGCCTAGGAGGTTAGGTACCATTCCATGCTTGAGAACGCTGGCGAAGGCAAAGATGTGCTCCTTGGCATCGGCAAACCGGCCAGTTCCCATGTAAAGACCACGAGCTGAGATAGTAATATCACGTCCCCAGCATCGCGCCCAGTCGTAGGCGAAATGAGGAAGACCAGCGGCCATACTGGGCACGCTCTTCTCTGGCCACAACGAGGCATTGTTTATGTAGCCAGTGACCTGGCAGCTGACTAGGGCGAGGCTCTTCAGAAACTGGTTGCCCTCTCGGACGTTCTCGCCCATGAGTTCAATTGCTCGCTCCACTGCAGCGTTGTATGCAGTCTGGATGACCATAGCAAAGTATCGTGGAAGCATGTAGCTAGGAACCTTGCGAATAGCTGCGAACTTTTCCTCCAGCCACTTGGCGGGACCCTTGATGTTGACGTACTCCTTCTTTTGAGAAATCTTCTGGAGGCGACCAAGGCAATAGTCGAGCGCCCATTGACCATCACGAAGATGGTTGCAGAGCGGGTGGCCGAGATTGTTGTCGTTTACAATATCACGTAGTACACTCCACCAGCCTTGCAGACCAGCGTATACTAGATTGCCGTGACCTGGAATATTGTAGGTTCCATCCTTGTGATCCGTAGCATCTCGCTCTTCTTCTTCACACCTGTACAAAATGTAGTTCAGATCGATCAGATTGACACCACTGAAAGCTGCACGCGCTCCACTAGTGATGAACTTGTCGAGACCATCGTCGTGCTCTGCACTGGGTACCCAGGTCTCAAAGAGAGCGATACTTCCAGGGGGGAAGTTGTCAGGAATGCCAATCGTGGTATCATCGCCAACCGACTTGATTTCGACGCCTTGGAGGTCGTTTGTCTTACTGGGCAAGCCACGTAGTGTTGTTTTGTCGCCAATGATGCGTGCTCTTGTCTCAGGACTTTTATCGACTTCAAGATTCCAGGCGCCAATGAGCTTTGCTTGTGTACCCGGTAGCTTGGTCTCTCCAAAGTCTCCGTTGCCGTCGCCACAGCCAGGGAACGCGGTGTGAGCAATAAGGAAGTATCCTTTCCTGGTGTTCGGATTTACTCGATGAACAGTGATGTACTCATTATCGTGGTGGATGTAAGTCTCGTTGTACTCCTCCTTGCCCATCTTGACGTGGACCTCGTTGATGATCTTGCGGATGCCACCAATACCACCTTCGCCAGCCTGGGGCTTGATTGGGCCTCCATTGGAGTTGGCCGAAGAATACAACCTCTTCTCGTGCACAAGCTCGATCAGCTCGGGGTAAACCTCGTCGTAGCCAAAAACACTACCAGTTGCACAGTCGCACATGGCAACGAGCGCAGCATTAGGCAGCGTGTCGCGTGCATCCCGCTTCTGAGCAGGCGTCTCATTGTCATGCGTGCAATCCATGAATAACGCGTGTACAGGACTCCGCTTGATTCTCTTGATGATTGGCTTTGTCTGATCTGCTCCATCAGTCGCCTGTGCAGCGTTGAGTACTTCATCAGTCTCGAAGCTTCCAATAGGAACACCACCATGTCGATGGACCAGTCTACTCAGCTCTTGAGTACTCCACGATTGCATCGCCTCTCGAATTAGCGCACAGATGCCGAGCCTCATGCAGAACTTGTAATCCATCTCTTCAGAGCCAGTGAAGAGTTCAGCACAGACCATGACGTTCGGGTTGACGCTGCGGGCTTCGTCGAGCATATATTCAGCGAGATGCAGAGGTGTAGAATGACAGTTGTCAATACGGAAGCCTTGGAAGTACTTGGCCATAAGTCGCGTGTACTTGGCCATGTGCTCCCAAAGAAAAGGGTTATCTTCAGGACCGTCTCCGTAGCGGAGTTTGACGCAATCACCCCAGACAATGACTTCTCTCCTTAGGTATGCTCTCGACTTGGGTCCAGCGTTGTCCCGCATCGCATCTGCAGCCCATACCCAACCGTTGTTGACAAGAGCGAGAGCTTCCGGGTTGTGCTTCTTCGTGGTCTCGTTGAGTGGTAATCGTGTGAAGTAGGTCTCGATGAGTGGGTTCTTGTCGTTCACTTCGCCGAGCTTGGGACCATGGGCGTCTATCCGGACATATTTGATCCGATTGAAGAGTTGCTCCATGATCTCTGCTTGGTCTCCATCGTACTCGCGGTAAAATGGAAGGTTTACTTCGTTGAGTATAGCCGTCATAGTGCCTTGAGCTGCGCGGTTGTCAGGCGTGTTGCTAGTACGAGTATCATAGCGGCCGAACAAAGCACAGAGGAGACCGGCACTGATGTTCGGGTCCATCCTGCGACGGTAGCGCTCGCCCATGCGGTCGCCACCGCGCAGGGCATGCTCGACCAACCAGTCGGCTTTCTGCTTCAGTGGCCAGTCCCTGACGGCATCGAGCCCGCGAAGGCCAGCCTCACTAAAGCTGCCATCAACGAACTTGGCCTGGCCGGAGGTCCAGGCCTCCATGATGGCCTTGGTGTCCCTCGCAACGTCAACGACATAGTATTCCCAGAGCTTGACCTTGCTAAGGACATGTTCTTTAACGCCTTCCATAACCTTGAGGAGATCTCCTTCGTTGTTGAAGGTCGTGGGCAGACCGTGTTGGGTGAGTTCTTTGCCGAATTGTAACAGCGCCGTATCCAGCTCGAGAGCGGGTTTCAAGTGAGGAGCGGTGTCGATGTTGTAACCAGATTCCGGGTGCTCCTCAAGCCATGGGCTGTTGTTGGCCGTGTGATTCCAGACA